GTATCCAAAGTAAAAAATCGTTCACTAGTGTCTAAAAGTAGCCACAAAAATTATATCTTTAGGTCTACTGGTATAATTTGCAGATTCAAACGGTAAAAATGCTCCCTCTTCTAAAAACAAAATTTATCTTTTAAGTTTTCAAGATACCCCGATCACACTTTTTAAGATATTTCTGCAAGGAAAAACTATGTTTAACGAGCCCCGGCAGACGAGGCCGTCCGCAATTGTGACGTATACCACTCATTTCAATTCTTGATTAATCTAACAAACGAACGCTACGTCTAGTGTAAAGCGAACAGAAAGTAAATGAAAGGTATGTAAAACAAATGCGTCCCCTATATGAATTTTGAACGGTATGTTACGCCATACCACAGCGTTAAAAATGAGTGAAACCTGGCGTGTAACATTGTCCCAATACACTCATTTGATAGCCTCTTGGAAAAGTGTCCGAATCGTCGTGTTTCACAAGCTCCGGCATATGAGACCATCCGCCACCAGAACATATGCAAATTTTTGTTCTCCTTCATTCGCTTTTCTCATCAATTCTTTGAATTATTAATTTCCTTTATGCTCGATTGCACTCTCAGTCAGACAAACTTCCTCACCCTCCCCCCCCAACCCGAATTTGACTCTTCATTACAGATGGATGATGATGTAAACAAGCTGTTGGAACCTGGTAAAGGTGACCACATCTGCTTGATGGAGGTGAAAATTACTTTAATTGACCATTCAATACAGATGGATGATGATGCAAACAGCCTGTTGGGACTTAATAAAGTGACCACATCCCCTTGATAGAAGTGAGTGCTTAATAGAGGTGAAAATTACTTCATTGACTATCCAATACAGATGGATGATGATGCAAACAGGCTGTTGGAACTTAGTAAAGGGTGACCACATCCACTTGAAAGAGGTGACCACTTAATAGAGGTGAAAATTACTTTAATTGATTCTTCATTACAAAAGGATGATCATACAAACAGGCTGTTGGGACTTAGTAAAAGGTGACCACATCTCCCTTAAAGAGGTGACTGCTTAATAGAGGTGAATATTACAATGGTTAAGGAGAAGCAAATTTGGGACTTTGATAAGCAGCTGCTTAAAATAGCTGATACAGGGTCACCTCTTAATACAGTTCTGCTTGACACAGGTTTCAACTGTTACAAAGATACAATATCAATATAGGATATTAACACATGGGTCTTGCAATTATTTAAAAGCACTAATAAAACAAAAGGGTAAAATTAAACATATGGTTTAATATATTTATTTCATTGAATCTTCGACTACTTATAATTAACAGTAACTTTAAGAGGTAGCAGTTTTCCTGTCCCCAAAATGCTCTCCAGTAACGTTGAAATTGTAGTGAGATCTTCAAGCATCATTCTTGTATTATGTGAGACATCCTGCAGATAAAAGAAACATTATTGTTGTGTAAGAACAAACTGAAAATGCCTCTAACAATTCAAAGCTTCAACCTCTATATTAAAAGATAAAACACTTGTATTGCACTGGAAACACATTCCCACCCCTCAAGGAACAGACAATGGTCAAAGGCTGTGGGTTGCCGGGGGGAGGGGGGGAGGTATGACAAAGCTTCAAGTTGATCAGTGCATAACCATATAAATGAATGAATTACCAATGCAGCTGTCTGTGCTCTGCTGAGATGAAAGGTGGAGCTTTCAAGTTTAGAACCTGCTGACTTGTAACTCTTAGTTAAGCCTTCCACAAGGTCACTTCGCAGCTCCAAATTTCTTTCTCC